TTGGATTTACAACCTGTCTAAATTATTGGTTGCGACTTCAAAGAACATCTTGTATTACCACTTTGCCAGACTTCNATGTGCTCTACTTACGTCTTTCTCCCATCTCCTCAGTATATCTCTATCCGACAGCATGGTAACATTAGTATGAATCAACACTGCGATAGTGTGCCTACAAATTATGCCACGGAATTCGAACAAGTGACAATTTCAACTAATGTCACATCTCTCTCTCTCTAAAATGAGATATTTTTAACATCCTTCAGTACTTCATACGTCATCCCCAAGTATCCCTGCAAAGCGGATATGAGGTCGCAATAAGCTTTCCTGTAAAATCAGCTTGAACTTCCCGAAATTTGGAAATGGTGTACACTGATTGAAATTGCTTCTCCATTTCGTATGTTGTAACTCACGGTACTGATAAGTATGTTTTTACATACTTATTTGGTTCACAAACATGACTTGAACATGGATAAAATTGTTGAATTGTAGCTTAATCTTATTAAATTCATGCAATGTAGGTATTTCAATGGAAATTGTGGAATTCAGGAGAAAAGAGCCGAAAAGGACCAAAACTCAACAAAGTGATAGTTCGAGGACCAAATGTGCAAATATTGAGAAGTTGAGCTAAATGCAAAACGAGAGTAACAACATGCCAAGTATGAGCTCAATGACAAAGCAAAACAATTGGAAGAAGAAAGAAGTGAAAAGCGACTGAATTGAAGACAATTGAAAGATGGAGGACTAAAGGTGCAAATACTCAAAAGATGTGCCGAATGAGTGGCATGAGATTTGATGGTGTCAATCATCAATTGGACGATAACATTTGTTGAAAAGATGAAGAAATCGAAGAAAGAAGTTAAGAGAAGCAACAAGGAAGTTCAGGGACCAAAATGTAAGGACTACATAGTTGGTTATATCTATGCGACCACATAGTGTAACCATCTATGCGGTCGCATAGATGGTTGCAGGAAATTTTGGGGGAAAATTTATTGGTCTATGCGGTCACATAGTGATAATTCGGGGGCCTCCGTTGCAGTTTTTTATTTTCGTTGAAACTCTTTTCCTACTTGATTTTTACGCGATGTAAATACCCAAAATCATAAAATTGAGGGCAGGAACGACCAGGGAGAAGAAATACACTCAATTTGAAGGCAAGAAACACAATCTTGGGCTTGATTTCACAAGGATTCAAGAAGGAATTGAAGATTACACACAAAATTGAAGGATTATCATACG